CATTTTTGGGTTGGATTGTTTGTTCTTTTGATGTTGAGCTTCATGAGCTGCTTGTAAATTTTGGCGATGAGTCCTTTGTCAGTTGCTTCATTTGCAAATATTTTCTCTCATTCTGACGGTTGTCTTTTCGTCTTGTTTATGGTTTCCTTTGCTGTGCAAAAGCTTTTAAGTTTCATTAGGTCCCGTTTGTTTATTTTTGTTTTTATTTCCATTTCTCTAGGGGACCCAGAACATTTGAACAGCCATATGCAGAAAGAGCCTAAACTAATCTCTCTCACTCTTATAAAAATTAACTCAAATTGGTCATAGACCTAAATGAAAAACCCAAAGTATAAAATTTCTAGAAGAAAACCTTTGTAGGCTTGAGTTAGTTAGGCAACGATTTTGTAGGTCACAAACAGTACAAATTGTAAAAAGAATTGATAAACTAGACTTAAAGGTAAAAATCCTACGTTCTTCGAAAGACATTGTTAAGAAAATGAAGGCAAGCCACAGATTTGTAGGATATGTTTGCAAAATACATATCTGATAATTGACTGGTAACCAACGTAGATAAAGAACTCCCAAAACTCAATCATGAGAAAACGACCACTGTGTTTAAACAGAAGCAAAAGATTTGAACAACTACATCACCCAAAACAGATGTGGATGTTGACCGTGTAAAGCCATAGAATAGCAAGCCTTGGTGCTTCGTTGGGGTGACTGGCATTTTGCACGTTAAGAAATGGTTAGAGGTGAACTAGTAATCCCAGGGCGAGAATCAGGTTTCTTAGGCTCGAAGCCCAGATCACACTGGACTAGCGCTTCATCCCCATCTCTTCCCGGGACCTAGGAGACTGCCTCACACAAGCCAGCGCCCAAAAACTGCTCTGGCTGTGTTTTCACGCCTGTCTTCAGTGTCCCGTTGAACTTGGCACTGTTAAATCACCTTAAATCAGTGATTGTTAGTTCTCGCTGATTGAAGGAATGTCTTGTGCTGGTTCCTGAGGGTAGAGCAGTGAGCACAGCAGGCATCGGGGGTCTCGGGGCTGCTGGAGGCCCGGGTGGGGGACATGGCAGCGTGGCGGGAGGGGGAGCCACAGCGGAGAGAGCGGGGGGGTTTGGGGGAAGGTGACGGGGAGCCGGCGGGCAGCCCCGGCGAGGCTGGAGGACGGCTGGTGGCGTGTGGCCGCAGAGGCCCAGGCGGCCGGTGGGGGCGACCCGAGGCCATTCGCAGGCTCGCCACGCTGTTGTCCAGCTCCGTCACTGGACGTTCAGCTCCGTCACGGGGGACACCGAGCGGACTGTGCCCAGCGGGTCTGAACGGGGCTCCAGGGGAGGCCTTGGCCGGCGCAGCCTCCACTCCCCACTGTGCTCCGACCGCCTGGCGAGTCTCCACCCTCGGCAGCCGTGCTGTTCATTTTGCTGTAGGGGCGGCATCATGCTTTCAAGACGTGTGTTTGGTCTAATCGCTTAAACGTCCTCAGGAAGAAAATAGAGTCAAACTGCCCATTCCTTAGAAATTTTCCTTCCTCTGATTTCGACGTTCAGTGTCACTGGATGTAAGTGACCCCTCAGAGCCTTCTGAAAAGAACACCTCTAGTTTATTTCAGACATACAGAGGGAACGGCCCGAATCCTGACCCGCTTTCCCCCATCGCCGCTGCACTCCAGGGCCAGGTGGCAAAGCTCGAAGCCGCAGGGGGACCCTCCGGTCGCCGTGGGCGTCGTGGCGGCCTCCACTGAGGTGCCAAGCGCGTGGTGGCCAGTTCGCGTCCCCCCTTCATGGCTGCTGGCTTATAAGTCTGTTCAGAAATGTTACATTTTACATCACCAGAGAGAATCCTGCCCAGCGCTAAGCACTGACATTGGAAGACTAACGGAAGCGCCCGTCACGTTGAGTGTGTGAACGCTCTTCTCCTGGTTGGCATTATATAGCGAGACCTCGACATGCTTACTGACTAGGAACAGCTGTGCAGATGCTGGGCCAGGCAGCAGAAGCCCAGCAGACTCCTCTGATACGTCGCTACCCCCAGTGGGTTATGAAACCAAGCATAAACTAAACAATAAACAGGCGTGAGTCACCAAATAGAGAAACTCAGGCCCTGACTGCAGCGGGACCCAGTGAGATGAGAGGGTGTTCGCAGGGAGATAGAATTTACAGGTCAGAATGTAATAGTAACCTTTCACTGTGTAAACCGAAAACGAAACTTGGGGTCTTGGGTCATCTGCAGACACAGAGAAGTCGTATAGAAATAGTCTATGGAGTTTCACATTCGTTTTACATTTGCACTGGGGTTGCAGAGCTGTTGACTTGCCCCCACCCGACGTGCTGACGTCCAGGTGTCTTCTTCTAGCGCTATAATTTGGAGTATCTCACTGGCGCTCTAAATTATAGGACTGTATCCTCGTGGCGTCATGTTAGGGTCCCCGCCTGCTTCAGTATCCTAGTAATGCGCTGGAAAGCCAGGGCATGCGGCTTCTAATTCGAGCTCCACGGTGACTCACTGTGTCACATTTAATGCGTTCGTGGGACCCCAGAGCTGACAGGGCCCCTAGAAAGCTGATGTCATCTGCCCTGTAAGCCAGCAGCTGGACTCCGGTGTCAGGAGTATTGACAGGCGTCTCCACTGCTGCCAGCAAACCAGGACTGGGGCTGGGAAGAAGCCGTTTCAGTGGACACTGGCACGGGGGTCAGGAGTCCAGCGGGGCCCGGCCTTCAGAGCCCGCTGCGCTCACGTGTCTCGTGGAGACCCTGGTTGCAGCCTCGTGGACTGGCTGTGACGCCCCGCTGCCGGGCGGTATGGTGGCCACAGCCAGTGTCCCCTTGGGCAGCGGGGCAGGAGCGTCCACCGCGGGCAGCCTTGCTGCGGCCTCAGCCGCTGGGCTTTCGGGCCGTCTGGTGCTGCGTCGGTCTGTCCTCTCCTCTGCTGGAAGCTCCCGTGCGTGAGTGCCGCCCCTTGGGCTGCCCAGCTGCGGGGGGGACGTCCTTCCTTCGGCTCCGCCTTCTCTGTCCAGGGTGGGCTCTCACTCCCGAGCTGGCCTGGCCCACCTGGGCTTGGGGGCTGGGCTCGAGCCGGGGCTATTTGCTGGCGGTTGCTGGACGCGCATCCTGGGCCTGGTCGGCACAGGGCTCCCTCGAGACGCCAGCTGCAAGTCCGGGGCCCCGGGACCCCCCTCAGCATGACCCTCACTCCCACTCCTGCTTCTCCGAAGCTGCTGTAACCTGTTTATCACAGGCCGACTCTACCATGTACACTTTTTAAAATACCAGAAGTTTTTATAAGATGAATTCTGATGCATTGACTACGTATAAAATAAGACAAAATTGTAATTTAAAACCGTATAAAAAAGTATGTCTTTACTATTCTGAAACAGTAGTCCCGCTTGTCTGTTTAGGTCCTTTGCAAAATCCTAGAAAATGTTTGGGAACTAAAGGCACCCTTTCCGGGAGAGGCTGGGTACCATCTGTCCTGGACCCCTTTCAGGGAAGCCATTTGGGAGTGTGTGGGGAACCAGGCACCAAGGGACCGGCACAGGCGACTTAAAGTGTCGCCCTCGGCTGTGCCCCAGGGCATTCCCGCCCCACGGGGCGCCCCTGCAGCCCCAGAAAGTGTCTCGCGCCGGCTTTTTCTGCCTCGCTGTCTTCGGACGCCCTGTCCACCCGTAGCATGAGGCCCACCCCACAATGTCAGACACTTGACAAGCTTGTCAGGACTTTTCTCCAGTTATATTTGTGGAAAATTACTTGGAAAACCTCATTCGTAAAGTGATTCCCGCTCCGCCTAAATGGCTTACGTGAGAAAGGGCGGAGGGTGAAACCCTGACATTGATCATCAATGTGCCAAACGCCCCACGGGTGGGTCAGACCTCAGCGTAACCCTGGGAGGTCGTCACCATCTTATCGACGAGGAGACCGGGGCTTAGGGGTGCAGCCTGTCACCCAGATTCACGGAGCTGGTACACGGCAGCTCGAGGATTCCGAACTGAGCGGTCTCACCTCGGCACCAGAGCTGCTGAGGATCTCGTCAGACGGGAGTTTTCAGGAATGACTAGGAGAGAACAGTAACATCTACACACTAGACAGAATTTAAAATGCTCTTGAATGATATGATTTCTCAGAACCCAGGTCAAACGCTAAAAGCACAGGTGGTGAAAGGAACTTCAGGTGAGGGCGAGGCGCCAGGGTCAGGAGAGGCCCAGAGTCCCCAGGGGGAAGGAGCCACTGCCTGCGGCCGCGGGGTCCTCACCTGCACGGCGGGGGCAGCATGTCATGAATTTCTTGCAGTGAAGTTGCTTTTAAAGACAATTTTTTTCTGAAAACGCTTACTGTCATAAAAATTACTATGCATAAGTGGTGAACTTTAAAAATTATCTTTCCACTTAAGATTTTTACGTTTAAGTCATAAAGGATTGTAAGTAAGAATACTTTCTATTTTTGAGTCCTTGCCACATGCCAGGGAGCCTCCTCTGATCGTTTCCCCTTTAGAACAGTTTGCAGATACATCTTCCACAGAACAGGCGGGTGAGCCTCAGTACGCAAAGGACCAGGTCACGGGGCTTCCAACTGTCGGAGTTGGGCTTGGCACCCGGGCCTGCCCTCCCCGCAGACGTGCTGGCTGTGGAGCCCCCAGTCGCCAGTTGGTCCGTGATTGAGACACATGAGGGATTCAGGGCATCACTGTCGCGGGCGTCCTCGAGCCCAGCCCCACCTGCTCTCCGAGCCGTCCAGCCCGGCGGGCGCTCCGCGTAGATTTTAAACCCTAGCTGTAGGCAGCTGGTAACACAAATCGCAGCACAAGTGTGCTCACCAACGGCCTTTATCTTAGACGGTAAGACCAAGGCCCTCAGTCTCGCTGCGTATCGCTTCCCTGTAACAAATACTAGACGCGGCCTCAAACAGCAGGGCCTGGATGTGGTCAGTTTCGTCTCTTGGTGGCATCTCGGCGAGCTCACTGACCGCTGGCCTGATGCCCCCTTCCCGGGGAGCGAGTGCCCTCACGTCTCGCTGGTCTCCCGCAGGTGGCCCTGGTGCAGTGGACGGAGAGCGTCGGCCTCACTCTGGTCAACAGAGACCTCACGTCCATGCAGCTGAGGACCCCCAGCGGCCAGATCCTGACCTACTGCATCCTGCAGACCTTCCCCTTCACGTCGGAGAGCAAGCGGATGGGGGTCATCGTCAGGGTACGCTGGCCTCTGTCCCCGAGCTGGGTGCCTGCTCTGGTCACTGTGAGGACACTGCAGCGGTCTCTTTAGGCTCACTCCAGGGCTTTATGCTCGTCACAGTGTTTTGTAATAATAAAGTCCAAACTGATAATTTATGCTGAGAAGCTGGTGTGGCTCTAATAGTCATGATTTAAAACAACTTTCCTAAGACGGCTGAGGCAGAATAAGTAGAAGATGTTCATGAATTTTTGAAATCGGCTCGAGCTGCCTTGTTTCCCACAGCAGTAGCAGCCAGTTTACCTGAAGAATGATTTATGACCATAGCGTTGCTAAAATATACCCCTATTAAATTTTTTGTAGCGAATACCACAAATACATCTTGGAAGTTGGCTAAACTAAGAAGCTTATTCACTTAAGCTCTGGAAACTTGAGAGAATTTACCTTGCAGTCCAAGGCGTATATTCATTTACAGATTTTAGTTCAAAACCCTCAGCACAGCATCTTGAGAGCCACAATTATGCTCTCGGTTCCTGGTGGCCTGAGCATCTAGGGAGGTCACAGCCCTGCCTAGAAGGTGTCTGAGTAACTCACCCAGGGGAGTGGGTTCACGGAGAATTGCCCTCCTGGTGCGTTCCTGTTAGAGCAGCCCCCCAGTAGCTGCAGCGTGGCCTCAACACGTCTGTGTTCACTTCCGTCTTGTTACAGGACGAGTCCACGGCAGAGATCACATTCTATATGAAAGGTGCCGACGTTGCCATGTCCACCGTCGTCCAGTATAATGACTGGCTGGAGGAGGAGGTATGAGCTGTCTCACGTTGTACAGATGTTTTTACGAAACTCAGGGCAGTGACAGAAGCACGGCATCCTTTCTCCGACTCGTAGGTACTTGCTGGTGTCACTCGAGTGAATCAGGATGCCAGGTTTCACACCAGACACTGTCGGTTCATAAAGCAGAGAGGATAGGAGTACTGTAAATTATAAATACTGTACTTTCTGTGTGAACAACTACTGTTTTTGGTTTCTGTGTGAATACGTGTAGATGTGTGCAAGTGGGTCCATATGAAGAATATTTTGTTTATTTTGGTGAAAAAATAGAAAGCATCCCTAATCATTCACTAAAATATTCTGAAATAGTATTGTGCATATAACCAGAGTTATATTTTAACATGATATTTATTTTGTAACCTAAATTATTTACCAGGATATTTTAGTTAGAATTTAATTCTAATACGTACATAGGATTCACTTTAAACGTGGAGACAAGATCCAAATATAACCAATCCTATATTTTCATCAAATTCTCTCTGAACATATACGATTTGTATTTAGCTTCATGAGATGATTTGTTGTTTACATTTATGTATTTGTAAAAACTTAGATTTCAGAGTAAAACTAAACCGCTGAATTCATGAGTGTGACCCCCTTCACTGTGTGCATGTTGTCGGTGGGGCTCAAGCGTGTCCACCCCCCTTCAGGCCAGGAGTCTGTCTGTCAGTCCAGGGGCCACAGCCCACGTCCACGACGGTATTGGCAATATGAATCAATAGCTCCTTCAGGCACTGGATTTAATCAGGGACATGAATAAATTAAACTCCCTGAAGACCTAGTAAAATGCCATAAAAATTACTTTGGGTCATAATGATGTGCAATTAATTATAAAATCCTTGTTTAATTTATTTAGCTTTATGAGGTCAAATCGATAAATGTCTTGCAACAGACAGATAATGTCAGACTGTTTTTCAGATAACTTTATTAAAAATCCTTTGTGCATTTATTTCCAACATTGTAGTTTCTCCCATCGATAAATCTTTCCACACCCTCCCACCGCAGTCTTTGTTGTTAACACTCCTGTCATGGGGAAAGCCTTTCACTTTATCCAAAGCCAGCAGGTACTCAGAGCCTGAGTTTACAGGGGGCTGTTCTGTGTCACAGAAGCTCCCAAGCTGGATTCTTGGTTATCAACGTGTGTTCCCCAAATACTAAGAAAACAAAACACACCTACGCTGTCCGTCATGCGGCAGAAAGGGCGATTTTGTAAAGCCTGCAGTGCGAGCCCATCCTCTGTGTGGACATGACGCCTGCGAGCCGAGGCGGCGGTGCCTGGGGGGCAGCCCCTTCCTCTCCGCGCAGGCCCCGCTCTTTGCCCTCAGATGTGTGTTTGTTAGAAACGAGACGGAGCTAGGACTGGGGAGCAGGGCGGTATGAAGGGGCACCGTGGCGTCGCCTGCCGGGCCTCAGGATCCGCGGGCCGCGTCGAGTGTGGGGCTGGCGCGCGAGCGGGGACCTGTCCGCACACGGCCTGGTGTGTGACAGCGGGCAGCAGATCAGGTCTCCCCGGAGGATTAGAAAGGAACCCCAGAGACTCGGGATGGTTTATCCTGCATACATTAAGTGCAGTGAACGAGCTTTGTCAGAGGAAGGTGCTGTTACCCGGGAACGGGGGCCTCTGCCCTTGAACGGACGGGGCCGGGCGGGATGGACGCGCGTGGAAGTGTGTCCCCGGGCCGGGCGCAAGCCCCCTGGTATCGCTGATTCCGAAGGGTGGCGGTCGGACGCTCCGAGTCCCGGCTCCCTCGGTGGCTGTGACGGCCGCCTGCACAGTTCGTGTGGCCGTTGTCTGTGTCGCGCACACGTGCAGCCCGTCCCGCTCCCGTAGTGGGGAGAGAGCCGTGCCCATTGTCCCTCCGCGTCCCACCCGGCGGGCGGTCGGGAGGCGCAGGGACCCTGGGTCGGGTCGGCTGCGTGGCGCGGCGGTGGGGGAGCCGGCCGCTCCCCCCCTCCCGCGGGGATGTGGGTCTGGCGGGATGAGCTAGCGGAGCACGTGGCCGTGGCTGCGGGCCGGCCGGGCCGCGTGTGACCTGCCTCTCTCTTCCAGTGCGGCAACATGGCCCGCGAAGGCCTGCGCACCCTCGTGGTGGCCAAGAGGGCGCTGACGGACGAGCAGTACCAGGACTTCGAGGTGAGCGGCCGGCCTCCCGCCGTGGCCGTGGCCTCGGGGAGACGGTGCGCACGGGGGCGGCGCCGCGGGTGTCCCCGCCTCGGCCAGCCCTGCGCGAGTCACAGCACCGCCCGCCTGTCCTCAGAACCGCTACAACCAGGCCAAGCTGAGCATCCACGACAGGACGCTCAAGGTGGCCGCCGTGGTGGAGAGCCTGGAGCGGGAGATGGAGCTGCTGTGCCTGACGGGGGTGGAGGACCAGCTGCAGACGGACGTGCGGCCCACCCTGGAGATGCTGCGCAACGCGGGCCTCAAGGTACCGCGAGGGAGCGGGCGCCCCCTGGAGGTGGTCCCCTGAAACCCGCCGAGGTGGAGGGGGTGAGGGCCTTGGTGAGCGGAGGTCTCTACGCGTCCCGCGGAGCCCCGCCCCGCCCCGGGGGCTGCGCCCGCCCGCCCGTCACCCAGACGCAGCGGCTCTGCTCCCCACTTCCCGGCGGCCGTCTGTCCTCCTGGCTGCCTTCCCGGCCGCGGGCGTCCTCACGGCAGCCTGAGGCCTGTCCCGGCCCGAGCTGCTCCCCACGGCAGCCTTTTATCCGCGTGGGGAGGTTTGCCCCGTAGACCGCATGATGCTCCCTGCCTGACCTACTGACCTGCTGTCTTTTTCTAACGGTTTGTCCTCTTCGGGTCCAGGGGAGATTAGCACGTTGCGGTGTAAGTTTTAGTTTTCAGGAAACTGCTTTCTTGCCTTACTTACCTGTGCTCTCACTAAAGCTGAAGTTCAATTACAGATGGCTGAGAAAATGCATTTCAGTGCTGCCTCAAGGACTGAGAATGAAAAAAGTACAGCTTGCTTTTAAAAGAAATACTTGTGTCTAACTGGAGCAGAGTGAGAGAACTGGAGGAAAATGTCAGAAGGCAAAGCCGTGGCCGGCTTCAAATAACAATACACTCAGCACGTTTTGATGAGGGCACTGTGACGGGCACAGCAAGGGGGCCCCTGCCGTCCAGGCCTCTGGGCGGGGGAGATGTTGGAGCCTCCCCAGCCGTTCAGGGCCGTGGCAGGGGCGGCCGCTGGCATCTGCGTGTGCCGTCCAGGTGCTAGTCAGAGTGGAAGAGAGCAGTTCAGCCTCAGAACGTTGACCCGATCTAAGCCCGTGCGACCAGAAGCTTGCGTGGAGGAACATGATTGACTAGAGGCAGACAGCCTGCTCATTGCATTGTGGTTTTTCACGAGCTCCCCGTCAGTCTCGCTCTTGGGTGTTGCTGCTGGCTTGTCAGCACAGCCGAGGCCTACGCGTTTCTTGTGTAAAGATTTGGGTGCTTTGTATTAGCTGCTTGCTAAGCTCTGAAGTCAGTAAGACTTGCTGGGCTTCTGCCCTTTTCCCTTTTCATGCTCCGTCAGGAGAAGCAGACTCTTTTGTCCCGTTAGAGTTCAAGGATGTGGTTTCAGCCCGTCCTCTGAGCCTGAGAGGTGGCGCTCGGCCAGGCCACACTTGTCCCTGAGTTATCAGCAGCGGGACTTCTTGTTCTGTGGGGTTAATTGTCCCCAACTTTGTCACGGTGACGTGTCGTTGTCTTAGATCCAGGCTCAGTGAAGTGAATATTAATGTGTAACATAAGTAAAAAAACACAAACCCTCAGACACTGAAAAGAGCCGCAGGTAGATTGTGCCAAGCAGAGAGCCAGCATACCATGTAAGTTTTTTGTTGCCTGTTCCCAGAAATGCATATTTATGTATGATACATACGATACATCTGAAGAATCAGGTGGTAGCAAGAAGTTGCTGCTGTTATGGAAAAGATATATAAACCATCCTGTTATGTATAAAGTGTCCTGGTTTTGCTCTCTTTTCAGTCTAGGGATATTTACACATACAATATGTGCGTGTGTTTGATATTTTTAAGTAAAAGTGGTGTTCGGGAGTTCCCTGGTGGCCTAGTGGTTAGGATTCTGGGCTTTCACTGCCGTGGCCTGAGTTCAATCCCTGGTCTGGGAACTGAGATCCCACAAGCCATGCGGCGTGGCCAAAAAATAATAATAATAAATAAAAAGTAAAACAAAAGGGCTAGATTTTAAAAAAATATATTTTTTTAGTGGTGTTATTTGACATGACTTATTTGATACGAAACAACTTTCGGGTTAACTATTGCCCGTTTACCTATTTTGAACCTCAGTTTTCAACCGAAAAACTCACACAAGTGACAAGGAGGATGTCAGGGTCCCCCTAACTCTGCAAGCCCTCGGCCTGTGGTCCTTGGGCCTGTTTGCTTGGCCTGCAAGGCCGTGTAGACGTGGCCTTCTGACATACTCAGGCGTCCTCCTCAGCCCCAGCTGCGAGGCTCCTAATCCCCTGTCGTTCACCTGCCTCAGCTCTGCTGCTGTGTCTAAACGTCACTTTGCTCTATCCTGTTTCAGTTAAGCAAGTTGGCAGAGACTTTTATTGTGGTAAAATGTGCATGATGTAAAGTTTACCATCTTCACCATTTTTAAGTGCACGGTGCAGTGGCACTAAGTACATTCACACTGTCGTGTAACAACCAGCACCCTCCGCCTGCCTTAACTCTTTATGCTGTAAGACTGAAACTCTGTCCCCGTGAAATGCTAGCTCCCCCTCCCCCAGCCCTGGCACCCTCCATCTCCTTCCTGTCTCTACGAGTCTGACTCCTCTGGGGACCTCATTCAGGTGGAATCATGCGGTGTTTGTCCTTCTGTGACTGGTTTGTTTCTCTCAGCATAGTTGTTGCAGGTGTCAAATCCCCTGCCTTTTTTAATATTCATTGTATGGATGGACCACATTTGGCTTCTCCATCATCCATCCGTGGACTCATGCGTTGCTTCATGTTTGGCTGTTGTCAATAGTGATGCTGAAATCACGGATGTGCAGATATCTTTTCAAGGGCAGACACTTTTCAGAGATGAACACGTGATAGAGTTGGGGTTCACCAGCTGAAACTGTTTCTTAGATATGGATGCTGACGGGCGATAAACTGGAGACGGCCACGTGCATCGCCAAGAGTTCTCACCTGGTGTCTCGAACACAGGACACGCACGTTTTCAGGCCGGTAAGTGCACGTCCACATCACTTTGAATTTTAAATGTTTTGAATTGAAACTTACTGGTTTTGTGAGAATGTATACGCAGTTATTTATTAATTAATAGATATTATTTTAAAAGAGAAGTAAGTTTCTTACTCAGTTTATAAAAACATGTTAAAAATAGATTTCTATTAGTTACATATATTAAATGTGATCAAAAAGCTGCTTTTGGGCTTCCCTGGTGGCGCAGTGGTTGAGAGTCCGCCTGCCGAGGCAGGGGACATGGGTTCGTGCCCCGGTCCGGGAAGATCCCACGTGCCGCGGAGCGGCTGAGCCCGTGAGCCATGTCCGCTGAGCCTGCGCGTCCGGAGTCTGTGCTCTGCAATGGGAGAGGCCAGAACAGTGAGAGGCCCGTGTACTGCAAAAAAAAAAAAAAAAAAAAAGCTGCTTTTGGTAGAGTGAAACAAGGTCTAAATTCAAGAGTATTTTTCTGTTGTACTATTAGAATTATTAACGACTAAATATCTATTTTAAAATAGACATACTGCAGTCATTTTCTGTTCAATTTATAAAAGTATATATTGATAAAAAAAATTACGTTTGTCTATTAGTTAGACACAATACATGTGGTCCAGAAGCTGCTTTTGTGAAACAAGCTTTAAATACAAAGTAGAAATGTGTTTTTAATCTACTACCATCTTCAGATTAAATGATCTTCCTCAATTAGATCAAAGAAAATTAATAGAAATGATCGAAATTTGTGTGTTTACTGTATCTACGAGTTATGATGAAATTTGATTCAAACAAAAAATAAAAGTTTCTTGGGTCTTGATTGATGGCAGCTGAACAGACATTGTGTGTCTCTGTTCCAAAGGAAGCCCTTGCACCTACAGAAATAGTGATTTGAATATAATTTACATGTAAATGTAGTTTATTTCGAAGCATCAGAATCACAAATTAGGCCCTGCAGACTACTATTTGCAATTAAATTATTAATGATTCTGATAAAACTTCAGATCAATTTTTGTTGACTTTGCAGCGTTATAGCCCCACAAATAAAATTTCCACAATAAAACCTACCTATTTAAAGATGAGTCTGGATTGATTAATCTGGACCCATGAAGCTTTTTATTTCAGTCCTGTAATATATCATTTATTTTATGCCCCATAAAATCTCCACAGAAAGAATGTCAAAAACTAGTATGTTGGTTTCTGAAATATTTTCTTTCAAAAATTAACGATACTTCAAGATTATGACTTGATTTTACTCTTTTCCATCGTTCAATCTTCCAGATAACTCAGTTTGCTTGAACTGATAGAATAAGTTGAAACCCATGGTAGAGACAACAGAAACAGTTTTATAAAAGCATTTTGTATCACTTGGCATGTTATGAAAAGAGGCGTCTTTAAATGAAGCCTCGATTTTAGGTCATTCCGCCCCTCCCTGCTGTGTGGCCACGAGGAACTCGGCTTCCTCGGGCTGTGATGCTGAGGTGTGTTGACCTGTGACTATGCAGAACGGCATCCCTGGCGTTAACACTCACACACACCCCCACTGCCCTATGAAAGTAGAGAGACTTTCAGTTAACGGTCATCATGCTCTCTTACCCGCGTATATTGAGAAAAGCCAGTTGTCTTCCCCAGCTACGCAAAGGCGCCTGTTAGCTCATGGAGGGCAGTGGTGGGGGGCCGTTTGTCCCTCTTTCTTGACAAGCCAGTTCTTCTGTTCACTTTGTCTTACTGTAATTGTGATACTTGCCCTGCACTTTACAGTGTACGTTTCCTGCCTTGAGTTGTCACACGTTGGAAAGCAATTCGTATTAAATTAGTAGGTATTTATTCCCATCACTGTAGAAGAAATTTGGAAGAGCAGTTGTTATAGAATTTCCCGTGTCAAGCACTCTCCGGTTTTACAAGTGTCTAAAGGCCTGTGATTTGTGCATCGGGGCTTGTTTGTCTGTGAGGCTTAAACAGTGTTGTAACTGGGCACTTCTTCCCCTTTCATGGAGGTAACCAGTCGGGGAGAAGCCCATTTGGAACTGAATGCCTTTCGAAGGAAGCATGACTGTGCACTGGTCATATCCGGGGACTCCTTGGAGGTGAGGCTGGGCCCTGACCAAGCAGGTGTCTGTCTGTCTGTCCTTCTCCCTGGAGATGAGGCTGGGCCCTGTCTGTCCGGTGGACTGTGGACTTCCTCAGTCAGATGTGTTATCAGCCTGCGTTGCCCTCTCCACTGGTTTTGACATCTCTGCTCACAGCAGTGATGTGTGCGGGTAGAGCCTGAGAAGAGGCCAGGGCCATGTCGCAGTGAGAACTTGGTCCTTACGGCTTTGGCGCTGGTCTGTCTTGGGCTCGTTCAAAGCTCTTCCGGCGCTTGGAGGCCTGCTCTTCGTTCCTGGCGTGGCCACCTTGGAGCCTGGCTCTGGTAGCCGTGATCTCAGTTTATCCAAACGCGTGTTTCCAGCAGCGGCCCTGGTACCCAGGACCCTCTGCTCCTGGAGGCCCCGCGTGGGGCTGGGCGGCCCGCTCGGGTCCAGCCCCCTCTCCTCACTCGGCGCCAGGGTCGCAATGGCGGGAGCCGTCGGGTGGGGGGTGTGCTGGGGGCCCCTCCCCCTGCAGCTTTTGCCCGCGGCTCTCTCAGATGTTTCCAGAAGTCTGGGCGGAGCAGCGCAGCCTCTGGTGACCCAGTCAGTGTGGCCACTGAGGCCAGCCTGTCAGGGGCGTGGGGGGGGGGCGCTGGGGGTTGGACGGGACGTCAGGAGCAGCGGAGACGGTGCGACCTCTGTGGCCACGTGCGTGCAGATGGCGCCGTGTCCGGCTGGCTCTCCCGCCTGCTGCATTGCCGGGGCCGCGCATCCCAATTCTGCGTGGCTGCTTCCGCGGAGCCACCGGGACCGCGGGGCCTGGACAGCGGCAGCGCTCTCACCCGCCCGTGCCCAGGATGGAGGACTTGGAGGGCGCCCCGTGCTCCCCACCGTGCCGTCCCCACAAGCTGACCCCGGGGACGCCCCCAGCCTCGCTGGTGTTCACTGCATGTGTGTTGTTTTATAGGAGCCGCGCAGGCCCCTGGCTGACTGTCCAACTCGCTGGCTGAGCTCTGGCCTCACGTTTGAATTTCTCTGTCTGCACCGCGGCGTCTGCGCAGCTGCCGCGGGCTCCTGAGTTCTGCTCCTGTCCCTCTCGCTGCGTGTGTGGGACCCGGGACCCCTCGCCGGCTCGGCACACCCCCATCCCCGCAGCGCTGTGAACTCACGCTTGGGTCGCCTGTTTCCGTGGTGCCCGTTGCTGCGCGACCTGCCCGCCGGTCTCCCCGGAGCCCACGGTGTCTGGTCCCCCCCGGGCTGGGCCCTCCATCCAGCCACTGAGTCGGTCCAGCACCTGCGGGTCCCAGGCTCCCTGAGCCCCAGCTCCTGCCCAGCGCAGCACCCTCTTGATGGTGCCAAGGAGTGCGGTCCAGTCCCTGTCCACGGATCACACTTCCTTGGTTCTGGGGGACGAAGGATGACTGTCCCCTCCTTCCCAACCCTGGCGGCACTGATCGGGGCCTGAGCCGGCCTTCAAGCCCCCTTTCCTTTCCCTCCTTCTGTCTCTTTGCTCCGCCTCCCGCCCCTCGTCCAGAGGGTGAGGCCGGCCTCTCCAGGGCAGAAGGGCTCCGTTCCCCCCCCGGCCCCCCGCCCCCTGGCTGCGCGTGAGGAGGGGTGAGGGGCCTGGGCCTCGCGTGTTCTCGGCTGGTCCCACCGCCGGCTTCAGGTTGCTCACAGCAGCCGAGCCGCCTGCATGTGGCTGTCTGCTTTACAGCCCAAAGCGTTTTGCAAATTTCCCCTCCGTTCTAGCCCCTCCTTGTAGGTCGATGTCTTTTTTAAAACCTCTCTATAGTTGGGACTTGGGGAGGGAGCAAAAGTAGCTACTTGTGTTAAACACGCTTCTGTGAGTGTGTTTTTATTGAAATCTTTTTGCTGTTTCTGTCCCCCAAATCCACATGTTGTTCCTGGCAGCCAGCCGGCCCCAGGGAAACCGCAGGCTGGAGCGCACATCCCCCGTCCCGCCAGCACCCCAGTCCCGCTCCCCAAAGGCAGCGTCGCTGTTTCTGCTTCTGGGTCCTGCGGTGGTTCCTCCCCTCAGCGGGGATACTGTGTCCGTCTGTTTGCTGCTGAGTACCTGCCGTGAACGCGGGTTTTCGCTCACCACCCAGGTTTTAGGTGGCAGAGGGCCTGGGACTGCGTCTTGACCTCTTCACGCGGGGCACGGGCGCCCACACGGCTCTCCTGCAGGCGGATGTGCTGTTGGTGGTAGTCGGCGCCCCGGGGGCTCAGGACCCTCATTTCTGACTCCTGTCCTTCGTGTGGGGTGATTCTCTGGGTGTCCAGCTCAGCAACGGGACCCCACAGACTTCAGGCAGCTTTGGGGAATTTTTATTTTCCCCACCAAGATGGGGAACTAAGGATCGTCGCTGAGGGTATTGTGTGCTAAAGACCAAAGACCTTTTCAGCCAACCCCGGAAGGCGGTGCTGGCATCCCCTGAAGGCAGATGAGCTTGTCCGGGGCTTCCCTGGAGCCCTCCCCCCAGCCTGCGTGCGGGCTCCGTTCATCCGTCCTCCGTCCATCTGTCCGTGCCCTGAAGCCCGGCCTCGCTTCTGCCGCCCCCAGGTCTGCCTGAAGTACTACGAGCACGAGTTCGTGGAGCTGGCCTGCCAGTGCCCGGCCGTGGTCTGCTGCCGCTGCGGGCCCACGCAGAAGGCCCACATCGTCAAGCTGCTACAGCAGCACACGGGCAGACGCACGTGCGCCATCGGTGAGCGTGGGCGTCCGGGGAGCCGGGGTCCTGAAATGAAACGCGCGGGGACGTGTGCCCGTCTCCCTCCTGCCCACCCGGTGGATTCCCCCGTCTTCCTGGGTGTTGAAACCCCGTCTGCCGGTTGGCGAGGAAAGCCGGCCCCTCGCAGGTTCCCACTTCACGTCCGCGTTCCGTGCTTCCAGGTGACGGAGGGAACGACGTGAGCATGATCCAGGCAGCGGACTGCGGGATCGGGATCGAGGGGAAGGTGCGTCTGTCCCTTGTCCCCGCCAGGCCCCTGGTCAGCCCCCTCACACGCGTGGCCGGGGGCTGGGGGGAGGCGGACCCACGCGCTGAGGGAGCAGCTCCATGAGGGCACGTAGAGGACAGGCACGTCCTGCCGGGACTCGGGCACCTTCCTGGTCCCCGAGCTGTGCGGGGCTGCACCTGGGCCGCTCCTCGGATCCCCGCAACCCTCTCTCAGCTCCACACACACGGCCCGCGCTCGGATGTCCGGGTCTCCCAGCCGGTCGGGAGCTGTGGTCTGCCTCCTGTGCTCACGTGAAAACACCCAGAGAGACCTGGACACAGGCTGGATCCCGGGCCCCTCTGCTTCGTGAATCAGGCCACAGTGCTGAACCCGCAGCCGCTCGGCGGGGTGGCAGGTTCAGAGAACTGTCTTGAAGATGCCCCGGTCCCTGCTTAGTTTCTGTGACACCGTCGGTGCCAGGCCGGGTCCTCCCAGGGTGCTGGCGGGCGGCTTCCGGGGCGGGGCCCGCGCTGTGCCCCTGTCCGGCCCTTAGCCCGGCCCCTCTGCCTTGGTCGCAGGAGGGCCGGCAGGCCTCGCTGGCGGCCGACTTCTCCGTCTCGCAGTTCAAGCACATCGGCCGCCTGCTCGTGGTGCACGGGCGCAGCAGCTACAAGCGGTCGGCGGCACTCAGCCAATTTGTCATGCACCGCGGCCTCATCATCTCCACGATGCAGGTGCGGCGTCCGGAGGGGCCGTGCGGGGGCGCCTGGTGCCTTGCGGCCTGCGCGCACATCGGCCAACCGTGAGTAACGGGCGCTGCTCTCCTCCCTCCAGGCCGTGTTTTCCTCCGTCTTCTACTTCGCGTCCGTCCCTCTGTACCAGGGATTTCTCATGGTGGGGTAAGTGGGCCCATCACGCACAGACATGGCAGCGGCACGTCGGGAGGGCTTGTAGCCCGGGAACACGTGCAGGGGTTTGCTTGCGTGGCTCCCACACACTCAGCCTGAGGACGAATCGACTGGTGTGCGGAGCCACGAAGTGGGGCACCCAGAGGCAGCACGTGTCCGCTTATCCCTCCTACGACCCTGCTGTTACGGTTCTCATGGAATTTCTGTTTACGTGGGGCAGCGCACCTGGGTCGGGAACTGTGTCGGAGCCGGGACTTTCTCCAGCCCTCGGCGGCGGCATGGTGGGGTGGGGGGTGGGGGGTGACTGGGTCACTCCCAGGCTGGGGAGCCCCTTCCTGAAGCCTGCGCCCTCCTGGCTGGACACGGTTAATCCTGATGGCGGCGTGAAGTTGGCAGCAGAGACCTCGAGAACGGGTGGTGCTGGCACGGGACCTCACATTCCGGGACAGACTCCGTCAGGCCTCCCGCAGTAACGAAGCTCATCCTCAGGGCGCCCGCCCGGCAGCTGGGAAGCCCGTCCGCAGAGCGGCGGCCCGGGGCCCGTGGCGAAGGCTGTGCTCGTTGCGCTGCCAGGGCTACAAAGCGGGAGGCCTGTGTCAGACAAGAGTAGACCGGAGTTTCCTCCCCTCACCCTTCGTGACCGCGCCAGCAGGTAAAGTCAGCGTGGCGGCCGCTGTGCAATGAACAACCCGCGCGGCTTCTCTCCTCTGCGAAGCCCCTCAGCCGCGGGGCCGGGCCCCTCCACCGCGTGGTGAGGGCGACGGTGGTTAGCACACGTGTCCCGGCGCCGTCCTGAGCGCCGTCCTGTCCCCCCGCATCCCTAGGACACGGGTCTCCCGGCCTCAGCGTCTTCCCAGGTCGGCGGAGGACAAGCCAGCGGGTTATCGCACCCCGTGGAGCCCGGTTCAAGGGCACGGTTACATGCGTGTCGCCTGGCGGCTCCCCGAACCCCGAGAATCCCGGGGATTTCAGCGAGAGGCATCGGGGGCATCAGGGGCGCAACGTGGGCTGATTTCAGGGTGAAGCTGTGCGGGCGAGGTCCCGTCGCGAGTGACGGGGCCCCCTCAGCCTCCCGTCCTATGTCCTGGCCTCCTCCCCCCGGGCCAAGGGCGTCCGCTGCCTCCGCACACCCGTGTCTCCAGAGTGGACGTCAGAGCGAACTGGGGACCTGGTGGGACCAGCTCTGGGGGTGTCTGGGGGCGCAGGGCAGGCGGGAGGGGCGGCGGGAGGCTGGCGAGGGGTGGGCCGAGCCTGGGGTGTGGGCGCAGGAGAGCTTTCCAGGAAGAGGGAGCCCTGGGGCGGGTGCTTGTGCCCCGAAGAGGACGCTGAGCTCGGCAGCGGGGGGCCGGGGCAGTGGCGGGGGTGTGAGGTGAAGGTGCCGCTCTCCTGCCACGTGGACGCATCCCTGAACGCCCGGCTTGCCGCCCAGGAGCCGCAGGGGCTGGATCCCGGTCCCCCTCGCCCCGGGTCTCCATCGTTTCTCCCCTCCTCCCCTGGCTCCTGTGTGGCTTGAGCTGTTGAACAGTTTAGGTTCTTGTGGAAATTAGAGCCTATCCTTCCCCATGGAACTCATGCGGACCCTGCCCAGGTCCCTGGAGGCCGAGGGGAAGCACTGCCCCTCCCCCGTCCCCAGGCCCAGGTCAGGATAAAGGCTTCACTGCGACTGGCTGTGGGGCTGGGCCTTGCGCCTGTTCAGGCAGCCTGCCCTTAATCGCAGCAGGAGTTCCTAGAGTCCTTCAAAGAGAGGGAAAAGCCTAAAGGTACAGAAAGCTACAAATTTTTTTACATCTTCCCGTTGCTTGCTTAAGCCTTTGCAATAATTATCACATTAATTCCTCTGAACAGCACAGAATTTGCAGTAATGCTGGTTATGCCTTGAGTTCGTCCGGTGCATTTCTTCCTTGGATGCCAAAGAAAAAGCATAACCATTCTCACTTTCCATTTTTCTAAGTATGGATTTGAAAGTTTAAAAGGAAATTTTAAGGGGCAGAGGTGATTACTCCTTAGATAAGAACTGCCTGAGTTCATGGAATTACAACCCTAGGCCTGATTTCGTTTCCCGTGTGCAGCCTGAGCCCTGTCAGCATAAGCACGCATTATTTTTAAAGCTCCTATTTATTATCAGACTTCACTGAAAGTTTTATTTAAAGTTTCTCTGCATGTCCATCACTTAAACGAGGCGCCTGTAATTCTCTGAAGCATTAGTTCCTTGGATTTGGCAGGAATGGAGGGAGATGCTTCTAAGTTAAGCTTCTTCAAAAATAAATAATAAAATAGTTTTGCCCTCACCTAGAAAACAAATATAAAGAACTGGGCGGGAAGCAATGTGGTGTTTTTATCAAATAAAATCTAACCAGACCAAACTACTGACCTTCCATGATGGAATAACTGGCTCTAGAAACTACAGGACAGTTGATAGAATTCCGTTCCACCTATGTACGGTTTTTATCCGAGTTCATTTCATTAGCTTTCTAGGGATTGGTGACCCAGGTGAGGCCCACCCGCACTGCTGGTTACTTCACGGAAGGAAGCTCGTGCCGAGGCCGCCCCGGTTCCCCCTGGAGCCCACCAGGCGGCACCTGGCCCACTCCCCTCACTTAGCCTTCGGTTGCGTCTGCCCACATACCTGAGGTCCTGGGAGGGGCTGTGCCCTACCTCCACACGCCTCCCTCGGCAGGTCCTCTGGGGAAGCACCGTGCATCCTGGCCCCACTTAGCGTTCACGGGCGTCAGCACATCCAGGGTTCTGTGAGACCCGCTCCACATGGTCGAGCCAAACCCCTCCTGTGCCCGACAGCTGCCGATGTCCCGTGTTCAGGCAGCATCCTTGGAGACACGCAGGTCTGCTCTAGCTGAGGTGTCCCTCTCGTGATGGCCACAGCTCCCAGAAGGCACCCCCGGGCCATCACAGGTATGCATCCTCGCAGGGGATTTCAGTGGGGAGCCTGAGGATGCACGTGGGAAAACTACCAGATGCCGTCTTCACAGGGTGCCAGGAGGGCACGTGACATCTGAGGAAGAGTCCTGAGCTGCAAGCAGGAGCCTGGGCGAGTGATTGAGGAGGTGGGCTCGCAGCCCGTCACCGAGGGGCACCACGGAGCGACAGGAAATGCCCTGTCCTCCCAGCCCACGCGACTGGAAGACAGGGTGAGGTACAGGGAAAAGCTGTTTTCGGACTGTGGACACCAGGCAGCAGGCACTGAGGCCGGAGACAAGGGAAGCTGGCAGAATTCACAGCTGGAAATCCCTGGAACCTTGGGGGTAAAGATTCCTTAGGCACAAAATGCGTGAACTGTCACAGGAGAAATTGACAAGATGGACTTCATCAAAATTAAGTCTTCGCTCCTCTAAAGACAATATTAATCAAATGAAAAGGCAGGCTGGGAACCAGTCTTTTCAGTACCTATATCTGATAAGAGCTCTGTACCCAGAATGTTCCATGATCTCCAAACAACTCAATCTTTTAAGAAAAGGCTAAAGATTTGAACGTACATCACAAAAGAAGATGTAAGAATAGCCAGTAAGCACACGAAAATATATTAACATCATTAGTTACAGGAAATGGAAATTTTAACCCCACCTAGAGGCCAAGTTAAGACAGACCGCGCCAAGTGTCAGCAGGAAGCTGGGGCTCCCGGGACTTACAGCTCCTGGCCGGAGTGCACAATGGTGAAACGAGCCCGGAAGACAAGTTGGTCGGTTTTTCATACGATTAAGCATATGGCCCAGCAACCCTCCCCTCCGAAGCCTGCTCCTCCTTTATTTGCGGTGAGATCCACCGCGCCATGTCTCTACCACCCCGGGGGGTCGGGCGGGGTGGGGGGAGCCAGAGAAGCAGCAGACGCCAGGTCCCTGCGGCCCGCGGCCCAGCCTGGGGGCTGATGGGGGGATGGGGGTCTGCGCTGGGACCCTGGAGGAAGCCACCCAGTCACATGCTGGAAACTGCCCTCAGCAGAATCAGCTGATAAAAGGGGTGGTGATGATGTTTGTGATTTGGTTGTAAAGCTGGAGGAGTTTCTGGCACAATAACAAGGGTTCTTATCGACTGTCTTTAAGAAAATAGAGGCTCCTCGGACCTGCGCTGTGACACTCGTGAATCCCTGTGCAGGAGGGTCACCGGGCCGGGCGCATGTGCAGCTTGGTCCTCGTGCGTCGGCTGGCTCCGGGGGATGTGGGCCGGGTTCTGCCTGGGTTCCTTGGCCCTTTCAGACCCCTGAGTCCTAAGGGGACTAACAACAGCAATTAGAGATTTAGAGGAAAGTAAAGAGCATGTACTTGTTGACCTGATGCAGAAGTTAGAGGTTGAACCTGTAGGTAGAGAATCGAGCCATCAAAGTGCAGGCTGACACTGGACAGCGGACGGGAGACTTGAGCAGGGGACTCGGGGACGGCAGACGGGCCCGTGACGAGGCGGTCAGTGTCATCAACCACCAGGAAATGCATATTTTAACCACAGTGAGCTGCCCCTCCACGCCTGTCAGAATGGCTGAAACACCTGTGACAGCAGCAAATTATGGCGAGGATTCAGCACCCGGATCCCTCATGCGTGCTGGCAGGGATGTGAACTGGTGCAGCCGCCCTGGAAGGCAGCTTGGCAGTCTCTTATAAAACTAAACATGCAGCCGCCCTATGACCCAGTGCCTGAGCTTGTGGACATAGGATCCCAGGTGGCACCCGTGTCTCAAATAAGTGCAACTTACTTTTACAAAAAACCTGGGCAGTGGATGTTTATAGCAGCTTTATTTGTAATAACCAGACACTGGGAATGACCCAGATGCACTTCAGAGAATGCCCGGGGTGCAGAGCTGCTCTGTCCACAACCACGAACGCTCCTCAGCCACCAGAGGACGGCCTGTCGTATGGCCACACCTGGGTGACCCTCCAGGGACTGGGGCTGAACGAGAAGCCGAGCCCCAGGCTCACCTGCTGTGTGGTGCGTGCGTGTCACCTTGAAGTGACAAAAGTTATAAGATGGAGGACAGTTGCCAGGGGTTCAGAGGGGCTGGGAGAGAAGCAGGCTTCAGGGGGCCCTGGTGGGCTTGGGTGCTGCGTCTGGACCATGTCAGTGTCGGCGTCCCGCTGGAGATCGGCTGCAGTTTTGGAGATGCTGCCTCTGGGGAAAGCTGGTTGAAGGTCCCCGTGGTCTCTGTGTTACTTCTGGTAACTGTGCTCACCTCTGCAGTGATCTCAAAATAAAAGCTTTAATTAAAAATGGATCCTGCTGCCTGTCCGCATTTGTGGCTTGTAGACCTTGCTCCTGTACTGTGGGTAAGTATTCAGTTTTAGAACAAGTCGTGCTTGGTTGCCAACTTGTTTTTGTCTGCTTAGGGTTTGACCTTTGGCCTCTGGTTCAGAGGTGTGCTCCTGGTGGTGCCGGCTCCCCCGTGTAACCTCCCTGCTCTCCTCCAGGTATGCGACGGTCTACACCATGTTCCCTGTCTTCTCCCTGGTGCTGGACCAAGACGTGAAGCCCGAGATGGCAATGCTGTACCCAGAGCTGTACAAAGACCTCACCAAGGTGCGGCCTCAGTTAGGCATCAAAGGGGAAAACGGCGTTTGCTCGAATGTTTGCAGTGCAGCTCTGATATCACGCGTCGAATTATAATTGCGAAGGGTGCTCATAACCGTTTGTGGAGCTTCTGTGGATTTAGAACCGTGGCTGAGGGCTCCCTCTTTCTGGGTGAAGGGTGCTTTGAGCGGGGGCTCCCGGTCAGCACTGCGCAGTGGGTGGGGCCGGCTCCCGGCCCACCTGGAGCGGCCCGGCGTTCGAGCCGGTAGGAACCTGGAGCCCTGGGCGGAGCGCCTCTGAATGCCCACATCTCCTCCGGCCATGGGCTTCAGAATTTTGTCTGAAAGGGATCTGCAGTATGTTTCCGTCCCTGAGACCCGCGTGCTGTTGTCACGGTGACGCTACTGAGGTAGAAGTCCACTTCCCCGTGCTGCGCAGGCTTCATTCACGCAGCCCAGAACTGCTCTGGGACAGTTAAACATTCCTGAAAGAAGTTTTAAATTTATCATGTTTTTTTATGAAAACATATCTCTGTAGCATAGAAAACATGCTCCACTGGGTGGAAGATATGCCCAGCTCCCCACACACAAACCCTGGTGACCTCAGAACCTTCCAACACTGACTGACATATATACACTAATATGTATAAAATAGATAACTAGTAAGAACCTGCTGTATAAAAAATAATTTAATTTAATTTAAAAAAAAAAGAACCTTCCAACACTGAGAACAAAGTCCACGGACCCCCAATTAAATTTAGGTTTACAGTTGACAACCTGAAGTTACCGACTGATTTTTAAAGCTGTAGCCGAATGTTGTAACGGAGAAAGAATCAGATCAGGCATTAACAGGTAGACTCGCCCAGCTAACCTCTAACCAGTCCCAGTGGTGTTGGGTAAGTCACGTAAATCTTTGGATTTGATGGTGTTATTGTAAGAATTTGATGAGATTAAGATTTTTTTAAATTTTATTTTATTTTATTTATTTTGGCTGTGTTGGGTCTTCGTTGCTGTGCACGGGCTTTCTCTAGTTGCAGCGAGTGGGAGCTCCTCTTCATTGCTGCACATGGGCTTCTCATTGCGGTGGCTTCTCTTGTTGTGGAGCATGGGCTCTAGGCGCATGGGCTTCAGCAGTTGTGGCACGTGGGATCAGCAGTTGTGGCACATGGGCTCAGTAGTTGTGGCTTGTGGGCTCTGGAGCACAGGCTCAGTAGTTGTGGTGCACGGGCTTAGTTGCTCCGCGGCATGTGGGATCTTCCCAGACCAGGATTGAACCCGTATCCCCTGCCTTGGCAGGTGGATGCTTGACCACTGCGCCATCAGGGAAATCTGAGATCAAGACTTTTTAAATCCATTGAAAAAAATAGAAAATGCCTGTATTACTTCTATAATCAGGGCAAAAATAAAGCTAGCTCAACAGTATAGTATAAAATAAGATAAAATAGCAAACATTATATTTCATAATATATTTTGTTTGATAATAAGATATAGATGTGAGACATATATAAAGCATTATTATCATGATAAAAATATCATTGTGAATATTACAAGTAGAAGAAAAACTTTTTGGTTTAATATCCAAGATGGTGAAACCATCATCATTCAGTGAATCAGAATAGGCTCAAAGATCCAAAAACTACAGGAGGCTGTTGCGAATAATTATAATTTTAGTAGATTGTGTGTTTCCTTATTTCCAGTGGCTCCAGAAATGTTTCCCTAAATGCCGCCTCACAGATATGAAGGGGAAACCAGCTTTTTATGAACATCAGTGGAGGGGCTCGGTGGATGCTCAGGGTTAAGGTCACTGCAGGTGAGGCCAGGTGACGCTGCCAGATCGTCAAGGTGGGAGGACTTCCTAGCAGGACTTCAGTGTCCCCACCAGTGAGGGGACACGCCGCTTTCACTGTTGCCCACCAGAACCTTCTTTGTGGGTTGCCACGTTACTCTAGTGATAAAAGCAGGCTCCCGGGGTCACAGGTGTCCGGCGCTGAGTCCCAGCTCCCCTCTGACTGTAGCCGTGAGGTGGTGAATCCACACCATTAGCTGATACATTTGAACTTGAGGGGATGTTAGGAAACCACATCCAATTCCAACTAAGTTGGGTCTCGTTAAGGGTGCTGGCTTTCCATTCTTGTTAGGGTGGCCAACAGTTAGAATATTTCAATATCCTAGAGTCAGGACCGCATTCCTAATCTTTTTGACAAGAGTTCAGTCACTTATTTTCTCTAGACTCCTTTTCTTCAAGATCCAGAATCTGTACTTTTTGTCTTTAAAGTATATATTTCTTTAAAAATTGCATACACTCGAAATGCTTTGAAAATAAAGTAGCACTAAGGCACTCGGCCAGTTAACTTGATAAGAAGTGAGTATTTTTCTTATTGAAGCGAGAGAAACATTCTGAAGCTTTACACTGCTTCTGAGCCCAGCACTTTGCACCTGCTGGGGACAGGCAGTCTGTCCGAGTCCATCACTGTGGGCGGCACGGTTGAGGGTCCCGTGCCGGGCACTTGTAAAGACCTAGAAGGCTCTGCTCCTGGTCCCCACAAGCCTTCAGTTGGGAAAAGAAAACATGAATTCGGGGTAAATTAAATGATGGTTGGACAGTA